AAAGGAGGTCAAGAAGTACAGCTCTTCCAGGTCGCCGGAACAGGGACCAATGGAAACACATGGCAAACAGCACTACCGCATGATGGAATTTAGGCTCAGAGAGGTAAAATACTTGCCTAAAATCACATTCGCAGTAAGTGACAGAGCACATTCTGGATATATGATTTCAAAGTCTGTGCTGTTTCTGTTCCTATTCCTTTCTATATTGTATGCTGTCCTCTTCAGTGAAGTTTATATGTACTTATCATAGAAGTTCCTTTGCTTCAATGCTGCAGTTCCATCATCCTTAATCATCTGATATTCCAACAATGGATTTAGTTAAACCCCCCACATTGGTAAGCTACAGGTCTTTTCCAAGTAATTAAATGTGCTGGATATTTGGATATCCATGCTATTCAAGGATAGCAATTATAAAATAAAACACGTTGGTAGATGGAAAGACTGTGGATTTATCACATACTTGATAAAAATCATCTCATGCATTTCCATATTGGCAAGAAAAAAATAATAAAAATAAGAGCAAAATTAATGAAATTGGTAACAGATATGGAAGAGTTGAATAAAAATGCTAGATGTTAGTGCTTTCAAAATGTAAAAAATAAGGAAACCTTTGGCAATATGGGTCAAGAAAATTAGAAGGCACAGATAAGCCACTTTTGAAGAAGGTGTCTTGCTTGTACTTACAGTAAAGATTTAAAAGATAATGTTATGAAAAAGATATGCTGATAATTTGAAAATTAATACTAAATGGGTAAATTCTAGAAAAAACCTTTATATTGGGGAAAAAGAAAATATTAATATTAAGCTTATTCTTGACAAAGCATGCATGAGAAGGCAAAATTACTGGTGAATCTTAATTTGTTATAAAAACGCAAAAAATAGAAGTAAGATAATGGCAAACTTAATCCAGCAATGGCTAAAACAGATAATACAGCAGGGCAAAGTTGTGTTTATACCAAACTTGCAATGTTGGTTTAACATGAGGAGATTCATAATGTAGATCAACACATTAATAGGATAAGGGAGCAAGAAAAGGATGATTATCACAAAGATACCAGAAAAATGCATGCAATAAAATTCAACAACCAATCAAGATTAAACAACAACAAAAATAACTCTTAGCTAACTTGGAATAGAAAGATATTTCTTTAAAATGATAATGTGTAATTTAAGAAAACTACAACAAACACCATACGTAATAGTGAGACATTAAAAGCATTCCATTCTAAATCAGAAGAGGCAAAGATGATTCATATAATCACTTCTGTTCCACATCTTACTGAGTCTCCTAGGCATTGCAGTAAGCCAAAATACATACATATATTAATTAATACATGTGTAGAAGTGAAAAGGAACAAAAATGTGAGTATAATTGTCTTCATATAAAACTCAAGAGGATCTATGGAAAATTATAGTAATAGTGATTAACCAGTTCATTAGATGTAAGACTAATACACACAAAATAATTGCACGAAATAGAAAATAATACTTTCAATGTGAATATACCATTTATGATAGCAAAAACAACAGGTCCTGTGGAATATACTTCAAGTTGGCTCAGCTGGCAACTATTCCAACACTCATAAACACTCTTACATGTTTTCCTGTACTGTAGAGAACTGGAAAGCTAAAAACAAGAATGGAGACCTACGTTAGTGTGTGTGTGTGTGTGTGTGTGTGTGTGTGTGTGTGTGTGTGTATGTTTTCTAGACCCCTTTTGTCTAGGGTTCCAAAGAAGATCTCTATGTATCAAGCCTATGCACCATAGTGAAACTTGGAGGTAGAACTGAGTAATGTGGGAGCCACAAGCAGGATCAGCTACGTATGATGGGAGAGGTCTCTGGTTTTTATAGGCAGCCACAGCAGAGTGCCTGGAATTCAGTCTCTGTCATACATGTTGGTTAGCTCATAGGCACCAGGGGTGTTTCAGCTATACCTGTCCCATGGCGTGAGGGGGCTTCTCCTGGCTGTGTGGCATCCAAGCCCACTTTTCTGGCCCTCAAAGAATTTTTGTAAGCTGTGTGATATATTTTGTTAAAGATGTCTTATTTTTATAAAATAGCTAGAATGAATATCTGGCATAAGGAAGTGGGGACTTTGATTAATAGAGTACTTGGACACCAAAATTGTTTGCAATCAAAGGGCTGTGAAGGAAGTGGGGATCGGGGATATATTATCCGGTCTAGGTGGATCTGAAGATAGTAAGGACCCAGTTGGTAATAGAGGATGAATCATTAGTGTTCCATGGCACACAATGGTGAAAGAGTTGCAGTTGCATTACTGGACAGAACTTGGGTCCACTCGCCTGCTGCACAGCAAAGCCAATCTACTGACAGTGAGTTGTTGGTGAAGGAAAGTACCATGTTTATTTTCCGGGTGCCAAGCAAGGAGAACTGGCTGCTTGTGTTCAGAAGACTCTAACTCCCTGCTGACTTTCAGGGAAGGGTTTTAAAGGCGACATCTGGGGTGAGGGCTGCAGGGTGCATGACTTTCCTCTGATTGGTTGTTGGTGAGGAAACAGGGTGCTGTTTCAGGGATCTTAATCATCAGCATTCTGGTTCTAACCAGTCTGGGGTCTGTGTGCTTGTGGTCAGCATGGAGTCACCATCCTCCACCTGGGCAGGGGGGATCATAGTTTCTGCATAACAGCTCAAAGACATGTATCAAGTTGTTATCCCTTGGGGGGAAACTAGAACTCTGCTTTATCACTGCACTATTGTTTCTTCACTGCTTTTCTTTCTTTCTTTTTGTTTTTTTAGCATCTTAATTGGAGTATAATTGCTTTACAATGGTATGTTATTTTCTACTTTCTAACAAAGTGAATCAGTTATACATATACATATGTCCCCATATCTCTTCCCTCTTGCGTCTCCCTCCCTCCCACCCTCCCTATCCCACCCCTCTAGGTGGTCACCAGGCACCAAGCTGAGCTCCCTGTGCTATGCGGCTGCTTCCCACTAGCTATCTGTTTTACGTTTGGTAGTGTATATATGTCCATGCCACTCTCTCACTTTGTCACAGCTTACCCTTCTCCCTCCCTGTGTCCTCAAGTCCATTCTCTAGTAGGTCTGTGTCTTTATTCCTGTCTTACCCCTAGGTTCTTTATGACATTTTTTTTCTTAGATTCCATATATATGTGTTAGCATATGGTATTTGTTTTTCTCTTTCTGACTTCACTCTGTATGACAGACTCTAGGTCCATCCACCTCATTACAAATATCTCAATTTCATTTCTTTTTATGGCTGAGTAATGCTCCGTTGTATATATGTGATACAATGTGAAAAAAATAAGTCAGGGTATAAAACTGTATATTACAGTATGGTTCCTCAGAAGAAGACATTAATGAATGCTTATGTTTTTATGTGTAATTATAAACATTAAGAAG